TTGGACACAGACGCCGGCGGCTAGCCTATGTACTGACATCCCCTGTGACTAAATTTCAGAACGTGAAAGGGCACTTTTTAAACCTGTAGCAGACGATACCGTTGAAACACTGTAGCAGACGAAATACCCGGCGAGCTCGCGCGGCGCGGACGACCAGCGGCGCAGCGGAGTGATACAAAAGTGCAAGCGAGATCACGTGACCTATTGCCGGCGTGTGATTGGCTCAGGCCACACGTAGCTTTGGCTGCGCTCGGACGGAAGCTGAAAACACTCTGCTGAAAACGCGTGTGGCACGCCGATCGCGGGAAGACGCATCCCGCATCCTGAAGACCACACTAGATAGAGTACTGCCGCCGCGAATGTCACGTGACCGCACAGGAGGCCTCGCGCATTCTTGAAGCATTCGATTTTGCGGAACGCGTTTTCAACGCGATTGGCGCGCCGCGCGCGTTTTCTCGCTAGTGTGGGCGGCCCCTTACTTAAGAAACGCCACGCGTGAATTTTATCGAGTGTCTTTAAAAAGATACTTCAACGAAATTTGAAATATACCCGTCGTGTTCAAAAAAAGGTTGAATATGATCCACAATATCCGTAAATGAATATCGCACGTTTGTATTTTGAGCCTGGTGGCTGTATTTTTCGTTATAAACGACCCACTCTGGCAAGCGCTCGGAGAAGGCCCAGCGGAGACCACGTGACATCCAACGCAATCGTTACGTAGGTCGTCTCAGGACGAGCAAAGCTACGGCGAGGCTGACGTCGAGAGGATGGCCTAGTCGTTCCAGCCACCGAAGCAGCTGCTTTTGTACGAATTTTGAGTGACGGGTTAATCTTCAGTAATCTTGTAGGGGGACAATAGCGACTTCTGCGACACACAAAAGGCATTCTCGGGAAGAGGGGAGTTCCTCCTGCCCCTCTTCTCTCATCGTGGCCGGAGGCGAGACAACCTCCGTCACTAGCTGTCAAGGTTCCTAGACGGGCATTACAAGCGAGGCGGTAGCGACATCCACCAGGTGCTCTTTGCTAATCGTTTAATTCGTGTTAAAATTCCTTTTCGCGACTTTTTTTAACACGATATTGGTATGTTCGATGTGATGCTGCTCCTTTGAACACATATAGACCAAAAAATGAGCGCAGAAATTTCGTTAAAGTATCTCTTCAAAGGGATGGTAAACCAAAATTTGGATTAAAAAAAAAAAAAAAACAATGCTGGAGATGTAGGCGGGACGCTACAATCCGTACAACACTACTAAAAAGGCGATATCTCAAATGGACGGCCGTATTTTTGGAAAAAGAAGTCGAGATTGAACCAGGCCGACGAGGCGCGTGACCGTCAAGATACCTAGTTTCCTCCTCTCTTCGCTTCGCTCCCTCAAGGCCGCGAGGCGGAGAAGACGCGAGGCCGTTCCCTCTCCTTCTCGGAGAAACATGACGTCAACATTCCTGCCAAATGCGCCTCTTTTTTTGAAAAATACGGTCATCCGTTCGAGATATCGCGGTATGAGGGATGTTTTGGTGTTTGTAGCATCCCGTTGCACGCTTTTGCCACGTGCTTTTGGGAATCCAGATTTCGGTTGAGCATTTCTTTAATGGGCCAAGGGCGAGCGATGCGCCGCCGTTTGCTTCCGAAGGTTACGCGTCGTGCAATGGCGCCTTTGACGCTATACTTGTGAGAGAAACACAACAGAACAAGGGGCTTTAGTTTTCGATGCTGCAACTATGGAGTGTTGTCTGTGTGTAGCCGCTTGGCGTGTTTTTATATTTTAAAGTAACGAAAAATGTCCCAATGGCATGCAGTGCGTGGGCCCAGGACTCATGCAGCTCTTGCAGAAAGAATGGCGGAAGGAGAAATAAGGCGCGAGGACGTTGTTCTGAAAAGCACTAGGCACAAACGTGAGTGCACGGCAGCTATGATAAAAGCACGATGCTCGCACAGGTAACAAGCCTTACTCTTGGCAGTTTACCCAGGAATCTCCGATTGGGGGCGTGTTAAAGGAATTGTCAGTAAAGCCCCTCGATATGTTTGCGCTTGTCTTGCAAGTAGCGCCAAATGCGCGAGTGCACGAGGCCCATGTCTCGAGCGGCCCTTGGAAGCAAATGGCGGCGCAGCACTGAAATGAGCGGGCCTTGGAAGCGAATGGCGGCGGAGCACCCGCTCATGGCACGTGTCTCGCGCGCTTCCACAACAATGATTGGCGGTACTTGTAAAAAACGCTTTTACCAAGGGGCTTTCATTGTCAGGCGACATCCGGAAGTCGCTAAGTTTTTGCGCTGGTCACGTAGAGTGGGCTGAAATATGGCCAGATGTGATATTTAATTCATGAAAAAGAGCCAGAATATTTCATCAGTACGGAGCTGCACGCCAAGTGTCGTGGTGTCACATCAGGCATGGCAACGTAAGAGTCGCGGATGTTGACTTCCAATTTTGATCAGCATGGTTGATGGCGCGTACAAAGATTATCGTCGAAGCAGTGAGCTTCGCTCAACACCGTAAATCTTGTCTCTCTCAGAACGAGGTTGCTTTTCTGAACCAGCAGTCCAGAGCTGTCGTGGATCTCTGCCTTTTCCAGGCTTCCTTTCCTTTCAACACTTCTCTCTCTCTCTCTCTCTCTCTCTGGATCTCTGCCTGATGTTACGTCAGAGCTTCCGCTATTGCCAGCGAGGACGTAGTGTGTTTCGTGGGTGCAATCTGAGCAGTTGGTTGGGCTCTGTTTAACATTGAATTAATCGTGCGGAGGAGGATTAAAATTCAGATATTGTGCGTAAGTTATTCATAAAAGCAACGACAAAATAATTTAGTTGTTTTATTTCTGAAACACAAAATTTTACCGGACCTCTTTAAACATTTTTTTTTTTTAAGGACTTGGGGGGGGGGGGGGGGGGGGTTGTAGCATAGGTTTCTGTGCTTGGTGTCCGAAATTCGGAGGGATGTGACTGTGAGAGCAGATACCTTACTAAGGAAATACAAGATACTCCACGAAAATACATAGAAAACGTCGGCAACGGAAATCTGTGGAAACACGCGTAACGACGGCAGCGGTACCGCACCCGCGACCCTGTCAACCGCACCGGATTCTGAGGCATCGCCTTCACGCGTGCTCTGGTGGCGAGAGGAGGGGGATGAGGGAAAGAAGCGTCGCCAAATAAACCACTCCACCAGGGGTGGTTTATGGCGCGGCCGTCGATCTGTTTAATGCAAATGACGAGAGTCTCCTGTATTCCCATTTCCGAAATTCACTCTGGTCACTATCAGTATCAGTCATCATGTGAGGAATGGCATATGCGTCGTAGTAATGGTGGCCTTGTGGTTACTGTATATGGTAGACGTTGAAGATGTTCCGAAGCGGATGATGCGTGGACTGTATATTTGAAACGTGAGTACGATGCGACGCAGGAATGGAATACAAGAGTTGCGTAAGCGTTCATTTCCAACTCGGGTTTAGTCAGTCTTTTGGCGGCACATAATCGGCTCTAAAGCCCCTTGTTGTGCAAAGCTTAATCACGGCGTCAATGTGGATACGTGCTTCATTCTTACCGCTTGTATATGTGCATCACCATCGAAACCATCACCATCACCGCGCTAAGAATAATCTTTTAGCTCCACCCACAAGCGCACTGCGCCCATCTGAAGTGCCTCCGCCGTCGAGAAAGTAGTTCGCTAGCAACGTTGCTTTTCCTTCCTCCAGGAAACGTGTCTTAAACTACCACAATATTTATTTAATTCATTCGGGACATTTAAATAAGTTAGAATACGTTTTTGTCAACGAAATAGCTGTTTAGTAAGGAAAGAAAGTCATGTCCAATGTACCGTCTTCCCAATTCATTTTCTGTCCAAGATACTGTCTAACATACCGTCTAACATACCTCTCAGCAGTGCTAAGCCTCGCGCCCGCTTCGAAATTTTTGTTGGCTATAGCGTCGCTGGATTCTCACGTTTTTGCGCAAAAACTGCTGCAAACGCAAGCCGATACCATTAAGATTTCGTGGCGTAACCTCGGGCACGTAAACCACGGTGCAAAAAAGCAGAATAATTGTCACGAGAAACTAGCGTCGCGTTGCTAAGGCCAGCAGCCATGTTGAACTTTTTTTTTTTTTTTTTCAAAAGGATCGCGATTGGTCCACGGAATCGTGACGTCATGAAAACGATTGGCTGGCGTTTCTCGGCGTGGGATTACATTTTCCTCTGAGAGGCATTTCCGGTTTTTTCTTAGCTTGCAACCAACTATAGGCCTAACACACGATAACTTTCATCTGTACATTACATCATCACATAATCACCATCACTAAACACGGCACCGCGGGCCTCCTTGGTACGGGCTCTTGCCTTTCTGCGGTGCCGCGGCTCTCCTGAGCAAATAAAACATTACATAACATTACATTACAACTGAGAGATCCAGAAATAATTGTATGGTAAAACGAGACAGTCTGGACTGCTGTTGACTAGCGAAAGTGATGGTGCCCGGCAAAATACTACAGATTGCCGCTCGATATCCTTCTTAGAAACGGTCACTCACGTCAGCGCGACTTGAGTGACCGTTTTTCTGGTGTGAGTGTGAGTGTGAATGTGAGGGTAAGTGATGAGTCTACTTTAGCGCTTTTCCTGCAACAGGTCGATATCCGCCAGTAGTACGGCAAAAAAAGTAAACTGCTATTTGAGTCGGCAGATGGCACTGAATTTCGAAAACGGTCTATTATCACTGCATTGAAAAAGGTATTATATGTTTTCGCACATTGGAGATTGCCGATAGGAAAAGCGAAGATTTTTCTGAACGCTAAAGTCACAAGGCAAAACGAAACACTATGGGCCGAATTTCTGATGTATATATTTATTCGTTTGAAGCAGCGCGATCATATATAGAGAAATACCGTCAAAGTTATTTTGACGTCTTTGTCTTCTACGAGTTCGAAGCGCGTGCGGGGGAGCGAGCGTGTTGCTGTGCACGAGAGGAAAAGAAGCATTCGCGTCGTAGCCTCCCGCAGTATCTTACGAAGCGTACACGATGTCCAAGCCTACAGCCAAGCGGGGGGAAACAGCGGAGTCCCCGAGTTCGGAACCTCGTCGGAACGAGAACCCGAGTCCTGGAACACCAAAGACTCCCGAGAGACGGCAACATCTGAAGTCGAAAACGCAGAGAACCGAAGAGACTCCAGCCGCCGCCTTCGAAATTGCACACGAATGTCAGCCGTGCAAGGCCAGCTTGAGGAAGATGCCAGAATCGAAGCAAGAAAGCGTCACCATGGTGAGCCGGGAAGTGAATCAAGATCAGGATGAACGGAGTGAAGTCGCCGAAAAACAGCGACTCGCTGAAGCACAGCGTCCTCTAGCTGAAGAGCCGTGGCCTGCTGAAGGACAGCGTCCAGTTGAAGAACAAAGCCCTCTAGTTAAAGGACAACGTCCAGCTGAAGTTAAAGAAGAGAGTTCAGCTGATGAACAGCGTTCAGCTAAAGAACAGCAGTCAGCTGATGAAAAGCGTCCTCTAGCTAGAAAACAGTGCCCAGCTGAAGAACAACGTCCAGCTGATGAACAGTGGCCCGCTGAAGAGCAGCTTCCAGCTGAAGAGAAACGTCCAGATAAAGACCAACGTCCAGCTGATGAACAGCGACTCGCTGAAGAACAGCGTCCTCTGGCTGAAGAGCAGTGGCCTGGAGAAGGAAAGCGTCCAGTTAAAGAACAGAGCCCTCTGGTTAAAAGACAACGTCCAGCTAACGTTAAAGAACAGAGTTCAGCTGATGAACAGCGCTCAGCTGATGAACAGCGTTCAGCTAAAGAACAGCAGTCAGCTGATAAAAAGCGTCCTCTAGCTAGAAAACAGTGTCCACCTAAAGACCAGCGTCCAGCTGATGAACAGTGGCCCGCTGAAGAGCAGCTTCCAGCTGAAGAGAAACGTCCAGATAAAGAGCAACGTCCAGCTGATGAACAGCGACTCGCTAAAGAACAGCGTCCTCTAGCTGAAGAGCAGTGGCCTGCTGAAGGACAGCGTCCAGTTAAAGAACAAAGCCTTCCAGTTGAAAGACAACGTCCAGTTAAAGTTAAAGAACAGAATTCAGCTGATGAACAGCGCTCAGCTGGTGAACAGCGTTCAGCTAAAGAACAGCAGTCTGCTGTTAAAAAGCGTCCTCTAGCTAGAAAACAGCGTCCAGCTAAAGAACAGCGTCCAGCTGATGAACAGTGGCCCGCTGAAGAGCAGCTTCCAGCTGAAGAGAAACGTCCAGATAAAGAGCAACGTCCAGCTGATGAACAGCGACTCGCTGAAGAACAGCGTCCTCTAGCTGAAGAGCAGTGGCCTACTGAAGGACAGCGTCCAGCTAAAGAACAGAGCCCTCTAGTTATAAGACAACGTCCAGCTAAAGTTAAAGAGCAGAGTTCAGCTGATGAACAGCGCTCAGCTGATGGACAGCGCTCAGCTGGTGAACAGCGTTCAGCTAAAGAACAGCAGTCAGCTGATAAAAAGCATCCTCTGGCTAGAAAACAGCGCCCAGCTAAAGAACAACGTCAAGCTGATGAACAGTGGCCCGCTGAAGAGCAGCTTCCAGCTGAAGAGCAACGTCCAGATAAAGAGCAACGTCCAGCTGATGAACAGCGACTCGCTGAAGAACAGCGTTCTCTAGCTGAAGAGCAGTGGCCTGCTGAAGGACAGCGTCCAGTTAAAGAACAGAGCCCTCTAGTTAGAAGACGTCCAGCTAAGGTTAAAGAACAGAGTTCAGCTGATGAACAGCACTCAACTGGTGAACAGCGTTCTCTGGCTGAGGAGCAGTGGCCTGCTGAAGGACAGCGTCCAGTTAAAGAACAGAGCCGTCTAGTTAAAAGACAACGTCCAGCTGAGGTTAAAAAACAGAGTTCATCTGATAAACAGCGCTCAGCTAAAGAACAGCATTCAGCTGATAAACAGCGTCCTCTAGCTAGAAAGCAGTGCCCAGCTAAACAACAACGTCCAGCTGGTGAACAGTGGCCCGTTGAAGAGCAGCGTTCAGCTGAAGAGCAACGCCCAGCTGAAGAGCAACGTCCAGCTGAAGAGCAACACCCAGCTGAAGAGCAACGTCCAGCTGAAGAGCAACGTCCAGCTGATGAACAGTGGCCCGTCGAAGAGCAGCGTCCGGCACAATCCAATGTTGTAAACCGTCCCTCGTTACAGAGCAGAAAAATTTGGGTGCATCGGGCGAGCCTGGGTCTCCTCAAGATCCTGTTAGGAGTTCAGACCAGACAGTCGCTGGACCAGCCACCAGGTGACCGACCAGTTGCCAAGTCGCGATATTCGGGCACTGCCGATTACCAAGGTATATAGACAGTATGTTCTCCGCGCTCATCAAAGTCGCATTCACCGGGTGCCATGTTGGAGCGCTTTGTTGGCACTCGTTTCCTTTACTATATATGGCTTGTACCAACGTCACATCGGCGGCCATTGTCGTGGCCTTGCGGCTGAGCGCTTTCCTTATGCAGCATGCATTTCGTACAAACGTCAATGTTTTCTCACTAAGAGAAAGTGGGATTGGCCACCAGACCGGTGCTATGACGCCACGTGTAAGTCACGTATATAAGAGCGGCAATGCAAGCCCGACGTAAGCACGCGCTCAGAAGCAATAGACTTGGCCGTGCGCGTCCGCTCAACTCGTTAGCGCTCGAATTCCAAGGGCAAGTAAGATTGCCCCTACTTGCACCTGCCTACGCCCTTTCATCATGGAACTTGAAAATGGAAATGAGAATGTGGAAATGTCGTTTTATATGTCACTGCATTTATTGAACTCGTGCCAAAATTATGCGCGAAGCCTTGTTGTCAGTTTATATAATGCACGGGATTTTGTAACATAATAATAATAATTTTATTGCAAATGGTGTCCATCATGCGTTTTCTTACTACATCAGCTTCTGTCCACTCTTTAAATTTGTGACTTTTTTTTTTCTTTGTCGATATATATGGGTTTGTCTTCCCTTGCTATGATGCCTGATGACAATGAAACTGGAAACGGACAAGACATAAGGGCCCCGGGTGCCGGATGGACGCCACTGAACAGGACTTCCAAATAAACATACTTATTACTTCTCTTTTTTTTCTTCACGTTTATTGCGCAGTGAACCCGCGCAAGATTGGCCTCCTCCGGGTGCCCGAAGAGACGACCACCGAGAACCTCAAAGTTCCGTTGCTCTTCGTCGGGATAATCCTGTTCCTGGGTGCCGCAGCCGTCCTCTTAGTGTTCTTATTATTCACGATACTCCACCTTCCTTCGGGCGGAAATAGGACCACCTCGGAAAGTCTGGCAGAAGCCTGCTCTTCCACTCAGTGCACGACGGTGGCCAACTACATGCAGTCGTCGTTGAACCCCACAAGGGATCCGTGCATCAATTTCTACGAGAACGTGTGTGGTCGCTGGAGTGCTAAGGCCCCCGACCAGGCGACGTACCTAGGTGTCCAAATCACACGCCACATAATGGAGGTCCATAAGCGGCTAGAACCAATAATCGAAAGGCGAATTAGATCGGCGAGGTCAGTGGAGGTCATGGCCTCTTTTTACTCCAGTTGCTTTGAGTTCATGGTACCGGACACGAATGCACCAGGCATTGAGGACGTGCTGAAGCTGCTCAACATCAACGCGAAATCGTGGCTGCACGCAGCGGACTTCCGGAAGTTGTTCGGGCGTATCATAACCGCGAGTTTGGACACGGGTCTACCGTCGACTGTTTCCGCCTTCGTAAAGGATTCTGTCTTGCATGTGGCGGGAGGAACCACGCTGAGAAGAAACCTGAAGAGAGTGGACGATCGACTGCCCCTTGTTCAACTCGTCGCGTCGCACGTCGACCTGGGTACCATCATACAGCATCAAGATGAGCTCGTCAGTCTGGATGACAGAATCGATGACGTCATGTGGAAATCGGAACCAGGCTCCAAGGAAATTCGTGTCAACCACCACAGCAGTCTGGCTGTGAACGTTCCACTGCGCTGGTCTGACATCCTTCCCTCGCCGGCACAGGCCGCAAATTTATCCACGCGGTTTATAGTTTTATCTCAAAGAGATGGAAATCCTGAAACTCTCATCGGGTGCTTATATCAATCTAAACTGGATGTTGCGAGCATCTACTCGCTACTGATAGCGATGTCTCACTTGGTGAAGTTTACCCTTTTTAAAGAGGAAAAAACGACGGAAGAGGACCGAATAGGGGCTTGCCTCCTGGTGACGGGGGAATACTTCCAGGGCGTTTTTCCAAGCTGGGTGGCAAGAAGTTTGCAGAGCAATGGGACGGCCTCTAAAGTCGCAGCTATGGTGGACGCATTCAAGAAAATTGCAATTGATTCCACACATCTGTCTTCGGGCGTGGAGATGAATGTCAGCTTCTTCGAGAACGTTGAGCTGAAGACATACGGCAAGTGTTTCTGTTTTTACCGCTGCTTGAGAAATCGCGGAACTTGAATATTCGTTTCTATTGACAAGGTGACCGCGGCTTTGAACAGGTCTAATATACAAAATATTTTTTTTTTTATGTGGTCCAGATTTTTTTAAAGGAATTTGCGTAACCGATTTTTTACGCCCTGGAGCTAAGTTGGTGGCCATGACGGCTACTTGAAAAGAGACGAAATGGGTTTTAATTAATCTTTTTTTTTAATGTTCATTTTTTGGAGCATATTACATTTAGAGAATTCACGCTCGACCTCAATACGATCTAACAGTGCCGTAGATGTTTGATTTAAAAATTCGCAGTGCGCGCCACGGAGTGAGAAATGTCGCCTTTGTACACTCGGCTTCAAACCGAAACTAAACGCGCAAAGAACACCTGTGATGTCGATTCCTCTGTTGTTGTTTTATTTCTGCTCTGCAACCCACGTGGTCGCGCCGCAGGACTCGTCGGGACGCGTGAATTCTGCTTATTTAGTGTTTATTAAGTGTAGCTTATTTAATGGTTCTAATTTTGAATCCTGATCGAAGCGTCCGATACCGAGTTACCGATATCGAGAAAGGCCCGATATACGAATATAGGTTCGACTCGGGCAAAAATGCCTCAACAGCCGGCTTTATCAGACTCGAGGCTCACACACCCATATGTCGATTGTTTCTCTTGGCCAATAAAGTGTCTCACGATGTCAACAGGAGGCGAAGCACCCGGCCTTCCCAACACGAGCGACCCTGGTCCACCGACGTACAGTGGCAAGTTCCTGACGAACGTGCTGGCGGCGGCTAAACTTCAAGCCGGCCCGAAGGACACCATCGCCATGAGTGATGTCAGCCGCCAGATCACTGGATTCCCGTGGAAGGCACCAGGCGGGCGCGAGTACTTCCTTCCAACGCCGTTCCTGACTGGCGACATCTTCGTCGCCGACGCCGAAGAGCAAGAGCTCAACTACGCCACGGTGGGCACACTTCTTCTCGAAGAATGGTTCCAGGCGAGCGGCATTCTTGGTTCGCTCAGAGGACATTTCTTGAGCTGTGAGGCAAAGAAGGCGTCCGCGGCTCTGGGCAGGAGAGTGACGTCTACCAGAGACGCGAGAGAACTGGCCGCTTCGCGGTGGGCCCTGGAGGTTGCCTACAAGGCGTCCAAGAGTCGCGGTCTTGGGTCCGCTGATAGCGGTGACCCCCGTCGGGACAGACTGTTTTTCAGGAGGTTCTGCCACCGGTCGTGTGGCGACGATGACGGGGCGAGCAGGTGCACCTACGCTGTGTCTCAGTCTGATGACTTTGCCAGGGTGTTTGGCTGCGACAAGACGGATACCGTCGAGTGTTAAACTTTGCGATTGATTCTTTCTTTATTCTGCCACACGTACATTTCTGACCTTCTCGAGTGTGCCGGATGCGAGAAAGCTGTACTACAATGATAACATATAATACGGCCCCACGCAAGTCACAGAAAATACAGCGTGTGGTTTCATTGACTCGTTATTCTGGAAGAATGCCCCGTGGGTGCTTCTGGAATATTCCAGTACGAGTTGCAATGTTCCTATTGTAATAAATAATAAAACGATGTTAGGCAATCGACGAATATTCAAGAATATTGTATTTCTGCGCTTTGTTATGTAGGGCCGCGCCAATTACCTCGTGCCAAAAGCTCCGCCTCCACCAAGCAAGAGCTCGTCACCCCTGTCTCGTTTCGACTGGGCATGGTTGCAAGCTCGCGAGACACATTATCGAAGGTAGGTAGCTGGCTGTGCGGTTTTTCTACCGGTTTTTCTACCCTTTTTATGAGCACTTCTTAAATTTACCTAAAAAACCACAATTAAAAAAAATTTGGCTTTATGCAAGAGTTCCCCTCTCTATTAATTTATATTGTGAAATCAGGTGCCTACTTTTTTTTACGGGCTGGGGTGTGTGAGACCTCTACGACTTGAATAACACGTAAAGAAAAAAAAAAGGGGGGGGGGGAACCTTCCCCCCCCCCCCTTTTTTTTTTACCTTTTCCACCTTTTGGATTTCGCCCGGCCCTGCCTGTCCGTGCGTTTAACATTGTCCGTTTTATCACCTAAAGGGATTCTTCCCGGCCACACCTTTTCGATCGCGGAGCACCAGTATAGGGGGTATTCACATGGTGCCATATTTGAGGGCGATGTTTAGAGCGCATGCTCAGAACAAGCTCACATATTATTAGGCTGCTAGGACGGTAATCTTGGTGGTGCGGAATGCAGGTTGCGAAAGAACTGCTTGCCGTCAGCACGCGCTAAGCAGCCGCGTACACAACTATGGTCGCCAATGAACACACCCTACGGTACAGTGAACTACAGCGTGGGCGAAATAGATTGAGCGCACTTTAAGCTGACCGCAATAATCGGTTTCTTAACTTATCGCGCTGGAATTTACTACATAGGCGCCTCAAATTGGTAGAAGCTTTCGCTAAAATGGTGGAAACATTGGTTCGCCTGAGTAAATAAAAAAATAAAACAACTATGTTTCCCGTACTTTGCATGTACACAAAAAAATTTTGTTACTGTGTCGCTTACTTGGGCCAAATATAGTGAAGAATAAGTAAGCCAATTCTATTTTCTTTCTATTTCAAAAAGTATGTAGATCGTAGTAAACGCCAGAATAGCCCACAGCCAGGGATGGGCAGTATTTCAAATACAAGTATTTGAAGTACGTATTTCAAATACTTTGTGTATTTTGCATTTGTATCTAGTTACAAATTGGGTAATGTATTTGAC